TATTTTTGAATTTTATAGCAAAGGAATCCATACTATGTACTATTTTATTTCTGTTTTCTTTCATGTAAGATCATATACGTGAGATTTATTTTCTAATCTTTCATGCTGTCATTTTTATTTCTACTGTTTAGTATTGTATTTTTGGATAATGCCTTAATAGATTTATATGTTATATATTTGAGGACCACCTGAATAATTTCCAGTTTGGAGCAACTGCGAAAAGTGTGTATACTCTGGTATATGTTTTTTGGTTGCCATATTTTTTCATTTCTGTTGAATTAGTAGTTGAAAAGCTAGTGAGAATGCCAAATAGTATTTCAATGACAACTAAGATGACTACAGATATTGGTCTGACTGGCTTCATAAAAACAGCTTGGTATTATTCATTCTTCTTCAAAATTTTAAAATGAATGGGCAATGGATATACGGGGGACAATGCTCAACATCTCTAATTATAAGGGAAAGGCTAATTAAAGCCACAATGAGATATACCTCATACCTGTTAGAATTGCTATTATTGAAAGATAAATGGTAACAAATACTGGAGAGGATGTAGGGGAACAGGGAAAACTTGTGTACTGTTTGTGGGAATATAAGTTAGTACAGCTATTTTAGAAAATAGTATGGAGGCTCTTCATGAAACTCAAAATAGATTTACTATATGATTTAGCAGTCCCACTTTCTGTATATCACCAATGGTAGAGTGAAGAGATATCTACATGCCAATGTTGACTTCAGAATTATTCACAGTAGCCAAGATAAGAAGTCTCTCAATGGATAGACACATGAAGAAAATATAGTATAGAAACATAACAGAATTCTATACAGCTTTTAAAAATATAATAATCTGTTATTCACAACAACAGGGATGGAACCAGAAGACATGACTCTTAAGTGAAATAGGTTAGACATCAGACGACAGATACTGTAGAAACAGAATAGAAAGATGGTTACTGCAAGTTGATGGGGAAGGGAGAAAGACAAGGTCATGGGAAATGCTGATAAAACAGTACAAAAATTGGAGAAATAAATTTCAGTGATCTATTGCACTAAATGGTGACTATAGTTAATGTATCAGATATTCTAAAATTGCTTAAAGAATAATTTTTAACATGTTTACCACAAAATGGTAAGTCAGTGAGGTGATCAATAAGCTGATTGACTCTTCTATAAAGTACACACAAATCAGAATATCACACTGAATCTTATAAATATATACAATTAATATTTGTATGTTAGAGAAAGGAGGAAGAAAGAAAACAAAAAAGAAATTAATAAATTGAGGATCAGGAAAATGAAATGTTATGTTTGAGCTCACACAGGTAATAAGTTCCAGGGCCAGCTTTGCTGTTTCTTTATAAACTGTGTTTAGCTGTTTTATGCAGTGTGAGATGGGCCCTGAGTTTACCATGATCAGGGAGAAAAAAGTATAATTTAAACTTGCTTTGGATAATTGAGAATATACTAAAATCATAGTAACCATCTCTAAGTTCCTGTGGATTCTGTGTGTGGTCCCTGGAGCTTGTATTTCAGGTGTTGGCTGTTCCTGTAATGAATGTACCCATTTTCATGATCACCAGTGTTAAGCAATACAGAAAGATAAGAACACCCTGGTCATTTGGAGAACATGCCACGGTTCATATTCAGGGGAGGGGAATGTGGGCAAAACCAACAAACACATCAACAAGAAATCCCTCAGATCAAATAATTAAATTTTAATTATTGGTCTGGGACATTATCCCTCAAGAATTTAAAATTCAGGCTAAGGCTCTGATAAAAAAAGAAAAAAAAAACCCAAAACTCAGATGAATGACCTAGGGATTTCACTGTAAATGCAGTTACCAACCTTTATTTCAAATTTATAAAGTAATCAAGTTGGATTATAGCAGTATCACACTTGGGGTTATCATAAAATGAGATTTATTTTATCTCCACAGAATTGTATTTTTTGGATATGGATATTACTTGCTCTATCTTTTATAGGGTTTTGTTCATATGCTTATGTGAAGACAACAGGTATGAAGTAGGTTAATTCCATACATTGCTTATGACCTTAGGATACACTTTATCTGCCATACCTATATTGACAGTAGCCTATTTAGATGTAAAATAATTCTAATAAAATAACAATAATAATAAAACCAGAAACTGTTTAACTAAAGAACAAATCAGGATTAGTCAGACTTGAGTTCAAATTATGATTGCTATATACTCTTAACTCTGAAATAGTTACATAGCCTCTCTGATCTGTAATATCTTTATCTTTAAAATAAATATAAATATATTTTAGAGTTGTGAATATGAAATGTACTGCCTTTCAAGGATCTAGAAAAATGTTTGCAATGGAACAGAAGATCACAGTAGGTTTTTGTGATTATTTTTTTTCTTTCCTGTAGAGAGTTTTGTCAGGAGGGAAAGGTGATTTATTTGCCTCCACGTAACATCCAAATTTGCTGACTTTTGACATGCCGTTTCCCAGCACAGCATTTTTTGAAGTTTGACTCTGTGTCAGGTCATGGCCTTCCAGGAATCTCTGCTGTCACATTCTTCTCTGGTCTCTGACATCCCTTATCCAAACCATATCTCACAATTTGCTCAAGAGGATTTGTGAGACTGACTCACGACTAAGTGGTGAATTAGTATCTATAGTGTTGTTTTAAAGCACTGTAATAAGTGGTGCTTTTATTTTATCAAAGGATAATTCTTTCTCCAGCATAACTTTCATCACACAGTAATGGATTATTTAGAAAGATATTTTTTGAGCTGTCTGATAACCTTTCCTAATGTTCTTTCTTAATTGGGTGGGAGAGAAGATTATGGTTTGATAAGATCTTTATTCCATAGCCCTAAAATTCTTAAATTGCATTTTCAACAATCAATGTTATTTGTTGATGAATGAATAGCCAATGTAGGCGTCCTGAATTCTGGCAGGGGTAAATGCACACAGGGCTTAAATGTAGCCTCTGCATGTCTTCACGGTGATAAGTCAAATACTAACAACAGGGTTATTCTAACAGCTCTTCCACTCTCAGAACTTGAGAAACTGGGTATCAAATTGAATAAATCTGAAGTCTATGTAATATTAGTATCTTTCGTCTATAAAGTATTTACAATTTTTAAGCATTATACTAAAATTGCTAGATTCACTTTCTAATATAATCAAGATAATACTATAAATGAAGTACTCATATCGTTTTTGCAGAAGTTTTAACAGAAGACATTAGTAAACTTTCCTTTCCCCACGGATTTAATATTTTAGATTATATAGTTTATAAGTTTACAGACTTATCTGATTTGAAAACTCTGATTTAAATCAAGTTTTATGAAAACCCTCTGGCACACACTACCTATATGAGTATTACTTGCAAAAGGATATTTTGCATGATGTATTCTTTTTCCTGACCTGTAAGCTCTTTATTTCTTACATATTCTCTTGAGCTGGATTCTCCACTTTCCAGGAACCAGTTTGTTTCCTTTATAGAAATTTTCTTTGGACTGTAAGCTCCATAAGAGTATCATAAATGCATGTTATATTTACCAATGTATGCCCAGAATCCGGTACATACTAAAATATCAAACAGAATAGCTTTGAAAAGAATAAAGAGAGAAAAAATAAAGACAAAAGAATGAGCGATTGACTGGATGAGTAAATGGTGGCTGCTTCTTGCTCTTACTACTCTGCTACCTTCAGGTTTTTTCCTTCATGCCACATCTTGCTGCCTCGCTCCTTTTAAGCTCTTAAACTGCTTGGGGTAGAAGTCACTAAAACAAACGTACTCACCCTTTATATAAACTCAGGCAAATAGACCCAGAAAGGGTCCTAAGAAAGTCTCAGTAAATAGACCAAGTAACTTGAACTAGACTTGATACGTTTTATTAATATTATTTCTCTGAAATCGTTATTATCATGAAGTGAGTTCCAGATAAACGTAGCATCACTGTATGTTATTATATTAATATGTGCTATTTCTGGATTGCCTCTTATGTGTAAATATTGCCTTAACGTCTTTGAATACATTCTTTCTTTCTTTTTTTGGACAGGGTCTTGCTCTTGGTCTGAAGTGTAGTGGTGTGATCACAGCTTACAGAAACCTCCAACTTCTGGGCTCAAGTGATTCTCCTGGCTCAGCTTCTTGAGTATCTAGGACTAAAGGTGTGTGCCACCACACTCAGAAAATTTTTAATTTATTTTAGTATTTGTAGAGACTAGGTTTCACTATGTTGCCCAGGTTGATCTGGAATAAATCCTAGACTTACAGGATCTTCCAGCCTTGGCCTTCCAAAGTGCTGGGATTACAGGCATGAGCCACTGGATGGGACTACATTATTTCTGTTAATTGTTAAAACTGCACGGAAAATTGGTTCTACTGTTATTCATGTTTTATACATAATGAAACAGTGTGAAAGTGGTGAAGGTGAGAGAGTTGGAATTAATGTGCCCCATGACTGCTTTTGTTGTTAGTATGCACAGATTTTGTTCTTTTGGGCGTCAGGTGTGTAAGCACCGGAAGGTTGCACTGGGTGATACAGGGCGAAGCCTCAGGCTTCTGTTCCTGCCTTTACTTACAGGCTGATCAGGTTGCACAGGAAGACACAGCCTTCACTGCTATTTGCTTGAGAGCTGCATTGTGTGGCTTTGTTGTAAGACACAGACCCAAACCAGACCTGACTCTCTCTTTGAAGTAAGTGAATCATGTAGGCTTTGAAGAATAAATAGGGGTGGCAATGGTTATGCACAGGCAAGAAAGCATTCCTTTTCAGAAAAAGCAAGAATATCTGCTTAATGCTAGTCAGTATTTGAATTTAATATTCTTATTTCATGAGCATATTCCCTCAAAAAGCAGAAGAAAAACTTCTCATTCGTAGTATAGCTCAGATATTCAAGACTTCAGGTCAGCCCAAGATACCTCCTTATTAACTTTCTCATGTCTCCGGTTTCCCAAGAAACTTTTTCTTCATGTGAGTAAATAGTTATAACAGAGGAAAGTTGCCTGAAAACCATGAGTTCCATGAAAACAAACCTCACTGTGACTGAATTTGTGTTCCTGGGGCTCTCCTCGGAGCCAAAGATTCAGCTTATTCTTTTTGTCATATTCTTGTTCTTCTATTTATTAACCGTATGTGGAAATATTATCATCATTACTATTATCCAGATAGAACCTCGCCTCCAAACCCCCATGTACTTCTTCCTCACTAACTTATCCTTTCTGGACATTTGCTACATATCCACCAATGTCCCACAAATGCTGTCCAACATGGTGGGGAAAAAGAATTCCATCCCGTTCTCTAGCTGTGCCACTCAGATGTACTTCTCCCTCTCCTTTGGAATGATTGAATGCGTCCTCCTGGGCATCATGGCTTATGACAGGTATGTAGCCATTTGCCATCCTCTTCATTATACCCTCATCATGGACCGCAACACCTGTGTCCTGCTGGCAGTCATTTCCTGGTCCAGTAGTTTCCTGAGTTCCATGGTTATCAATGTTCTCACCTTGAGTTTTTCCTACTGTGGGCCCAATATCCTGAATCACTTTTTCTGCGAGGTGCCTTCCGTCCTGAGGCTGGCTTGCACAGACACCTCTCTCACCGAGCTTGTGGTTTTCATCTTCAGTATCATCATCGTCTTCATCCCTTTCCTCCTCATTGTTGTTTCCTACGCCCGGATCCTTCAGTCGGTTCTCAGGATGCAGAGAACTGGGAGGTACAAGGCTCTATCCACCTGTGCCTCCCACTTGACAGTGGTGGCCTTATTTTATGGGACCGCCATCTCCATGTACATGAGACCCCAGTCAAAGTCCTCGCGAGCTGGCGGCAAGATCATTGCGGTCTTCTACACGGTGGTCACACCCATGCTCAACCCTTTGATTTACAGCCTGAGGAACCAGGATGTGAAAGGAGCTTTAAGGAGAGCTATTGCAAAACAAAAGGCATGAAAGCTGCTAATGGGACTAAGCTTTGGGGTTAATCTAATTATATCCTGAATATGAAGTGAGAGAGGAAAAACTAGCTTGGGCAGTCAATATCCCTCTCCCATTCATTTCTTCCTTTCCTTTCCTTTTTTTTTTTCTACTATTGAGATAGAGTCTTACTCTGTTGCCCTGGGTACAGTGCGATGGTGTCAAAGCTCACAGCAACCTCAAACTTCTTGGCTTAAGCAATCCTCTTTTCTCAGCCTCCCAAGGAGCTTGGGCTACAGGCACTTGCCACGACATCTGGATAGTTTTTCTATTTCTAATAGAGAGAGGGTCCACTCCTGAGTTCAAGTGATCCACCCACGTTGGCGTCCTAGAGTGCTAGGATTACAGCTGTGGATCACCGCACCCAGCCACCCATGTTATTCTTAAAACACACATAAATCCAGCTGCAAACTTGACAGAAAAAGAACAATCCTACAGAGTCATAGCAGAGCTATAATGTGTTAAGATAAGTCCCTTTATTGAATGACTATTATTTTGTTACTCATAGAAAAAGGCAAAAAATCAAAGACAAAAACTTTCATTTTTTTAAAAAAAATCACAGACTATCTGAAATGAACTGTTTGAAATTATACCAGCAGGATGAAACATCATTCTTCTGCCTGAAGAATCTAATTCACTTTGAAGAAGTTTCAATTTCTAATGCATCTACTTTTTGGTTTAGACTTGATATTGATTCCTTTACAATCTCTTTGCAGTGAGTCTACAAAATACTGCTTTATTTAAATTTCACCTAAACTCTGTTCTTCCTCCAAAACCTATTTCTTCCTGTTTGATTCCTCTGGGATATGTTCTTCTTGGCAATAAATAAAAGAATTTTGTTCTATCTATATACCAGTTTATTCCTGGTGGTCTTACACTGTTGTGTACACAGTAGGATGGCAATGATTAGAATCAGAATATTTGGTCAAATATTAGTGAAGGGATTAATTTATTCATTCATAATCTGTTTTTGCATGACTATGTAATATAATGTTAAAATAGAGATGTGTCTTGTCCTTCTATACATACATGTCATAATTTTATACACTCACAAGTGTTTCCTACATACATACAATATATGCACATATCTTGACAGATTATGATAATTGTAGTGAAGGAAGTCACCTTCACGGCACACTGACAGACAATAGGTAAGACACCCTTCCCTTCTCTGAGAAGGCTGCCTGGAGGACCAGAAGGAGGGAGAAGAGTAAAATTGAGGAAATCAATCTTAGTAGAGGGTGGCTGTGAACAAAGAGTGGAGGTATGAAAAAGTGAGCTCCATTTGAGGAAATAAAACAGACAAATAATAAAAGCAAACAGTGAGAAGTGGAGCAGCAGGAGGAGGTGGAAGCAGGCGGCCACCAGGCCATGCAGAGCTGATTGTGTTTAGCAGTAGCGACTAATTCCTAGTCACATATAAGTAGTTTTAAAAAGAGTGCTACAGCACAATTTAGTTTTTTGCAGGTTTTTTCTGTATGATGTCTGGAGGACATTCATTAGCAGCAAAAACTTGTGCAAAAGAGTGATTCTTATGTTTTCATCTTTTCAGACACTGTTATCTTTAAAGATAATTATTGTTAAAATTAAGGGAGTAGGCTCGGCGTCTGTGGCTCAACCGGCTAAGGCACCAGCCACGTACACCTGAGGTGGCGGGTTCGAATCCCCAGCCCGGACCCGCCAAAACAACAATGATGGCTGCAACCAAAAAATAGCCGGG